GGCTGCTGACTGTGCGGTGTTCTCCCCTTCTCCCGGGCCTTGCGCTCTGCGGTTCCTCAGCGCTGGGTGTGCTCTTGGGCTGTTAAATGCGCCTTGTGTTCGGGTTAGGTGTCCTCTCAAAGCTTTAGTGCCAGCCGGGCCGTTCTGGTCTCTGGGGTGGCTCAGGCAGAGGGTGTACCTGGCCTGTGGTTCCCCCGCTGCCGTGCTGTGCCCTGCCAGGCCGTCCCGGGGAGGCAGAGGGGTTGGCTCCCTCGGCTGAGGTTTTGACTCAGGAAACAGAGAGAAATGTTTTGTGTCTCACCAACAGAAATTAGACTGATCAGAACTTATTATTCATTCATCTTCATGAAATCTCGAGGTTTTCAGGCAATAATTTCCAGTAAAATGGCCTTATTACCTTATCTGTTCTATTAGCTAGTGTTCTTCTTAAAACTATATTTATCTGTGCGTGCTTGTACGTTGAGGTTTTTATCAGCCTCGTAACCATGGTTGTTGGCTGTTCGAGCCTGCCTGGCGCTGGGTGGGCTGCCTGGGCCGGGGATGTTTTGCTCGGGAGGATATGCGTGCAGAGGCGAAGGCTTGCTGGGGTGTTTGGTTTGTCATGTTTTGGTTTTAAGCTGTGTGAATTATGGCTTGTGTGCAAACCACAAGGCAAAGCCAGCCCTGGCGGTGGCTTTGAGTGTCACAGTCCACAGGGCCGTGAAGAAGGACTTTCCTAATCCTGATGTCTCACACATGTAACTGAGCACTTTTGTTTAGTTATTAATAGTGAACAACCTGTAATACTTCATCCAGCTCCTTGTCATCACGGGATCATTCCTTGTCCTGGCGGTGTATTACTGATGTGCCAGACAAAGATCTTTCTGTGAAGTTCTCTTGTGGAGCTTTTCTTGCTCAGGGACAGGCATTCTGTTATCTTTGCCCACAGACTTCATCTTGCACAGCTTAAGGAGGAAAGATCTCAGGGAGAGAGAAGGGTTTGCTCCTGTCCCTTATGCTCAGATGTTAATTTAGAACTCCACACTTCCTGTGATTCACAGCTTGTCTCTTGACATCAGTGCCATTTCTGACTGTGGAAAAACCGAGAGCGGTGTGCCTTTGAGTTGAAATTGAGCTGCTTGTTTAACTTTTCCCACACGGTGTTGTCATTAAGCACAACCTTTCATCAGGTAATATTCACTGCTAGGCTGTTGATTTTATTGTTTGTTTGTTTTCCTGGCCTCTTGCTTGTTGGTTTGTGGGTTCCCCCCCATGTATTTTGTGTTATGGCTCCTTTCATTCAGTTAATTTTGCTCTTAACAGTGATTTTCACTGTAACAGGAGTGTGTGGGGGCATTGATTGGTATTCTAGCAGCTGCAATTAATAATGGGTGGAAAGTCTTTAGTTCTAAAGTGCTGCCTCAGACTGACTATAACCGAAACAGTGCATTTCTCCCGCCTCCCCTCCCCTTGGTTCACAGCTGGAAAGTCCGCAAGGGCTGGATTGTGTTTTTATTTAAAAAACAAAACCTGTGGTCTGCTTTTTGATCACAAGTTCCTCAGGCAGTGGAGGTGGAGTCCCTTGGCCTGTTAATTACCTTGGTTTTGGTAAAGTAGCATTAGGAAGCTTCTTTTGTCCCCAGCTTCTTTCCCCCCCCCCCGCCCCCGTATGTGAGCTCAGTGAGGTGACAGTGTAGATCAGTGATTACCTAAAAGCAACTATCCCTACAAACAAAGGCGTAAAACCAGAAAGATTTGGCTCTGTTCTAATAAAGAACCTAAAAATGGCAGGTGTAGCTTCTTGCTGAAAAGATTACAATCTTCTTTGCAGCTGCCAGCTTCAGCTGAAACTTTAGCTGTTCTTTGCAGCGTTCAGGGCAGTCTGTTCTCTGTAGGAGGGCTGCAGAGCTCTCCCAGCACAGTGATGGCCTTGGTGTGCCACCAGGTGGGACATGAGTGGCAGTTAAAAGCCTAGAAAATGTTAGAAATAGAAAGGCAAAGTTAAT